GTGGTTGTGGTTATGGCTCAGAATGTGAATATTCGTACTTCTCCTCTCATATCATCATCCACACTCAGACTCACATCCACACCACACCCTCACCCACACTCACCCTAGAATGCTCTAATCTCTAGATATACGAATATTCAAATGTTTATTTTTTAATAAAATGAAGTAAAATACATGATGATTAAAAAAAGTGAATTCCAAAATAATTCGACTTCTTTTGGGATCTACTGCGGTCTGCAGGGTCTACTAGGATCTACCCGAAGAAAGGGCTATTTTGTCGGTGTGAGTTTGAGATGTAGATAGTGACAACACCTTTACCCATTCAAGCTCGCACCCACACTCAACCACCCATCCATGCTCACACCCAAGCCCACACCTTCACCCTCACACCCACATTCACACCCACCCGTCTCTTAAAGTTTTTAACGATTATATTTTCTTTTGTAGATTAATCAAATTTAATGGCAAGCTCTAATACAGATCATTTGTCCCCTTTAATGTCGCAATTGACGGAAACAATAACGTTCGATGTTAGTATAGACGTGATGCAAAATTCAGAGTTTCAAGAATTTGTTAAGAAAGTAAAAGATTCGCAGCATGTCATCATTATCATGAATGAAACTCATGAAATGATAATCATTAACGGAAGGAAATCATCCGTTAAAACTTCGAAAGTACAAATTCAGAATAAAATTCCTAAACTACTTGGTATACCAAGAAAGGAAAAAGGAAACGACCCTAACAATGACCCACGCAGTTCAAGTGGCAGTCCTGTTGAATCAAAGTTATGGGATACGATTGAATTGAGCATAGCCGAAAATGATTTCCTTGTAAATTTTGACCAAAAAATACTAAATACAATTGAAAAAGAATCAGGCATTAATAACGCAAGTATGGTGAATGGCAAATTAAAATTATCTGGAAATAATGTTCCAATTACAAAAATAAAATCTTTTCTTGAAAAAACACTTTATGAAAAAAAGGTGTCAATTACTCATGGATTGAAACAACATCTGGAATTAAATTGTAAAGGACGCCTCTGGAAAGATTTTTCAAAAAGACATCATGTAGGAACTTCTTTCGAAGACCCAAGATTGCATAAAAAAAACAACGGTAATAATAGTAAGATTAAAAACTCTCGTTTTGGACGAGTAAGACTTCAAGACGATCAACCAATGCAAAATACTATTCGAGATTTAAGGAACATGACCATGAATGATCATCATGAAAATACAAGTAAAAGGGATAGCAATGATCTCGGACAAGGTAACAGAAGAGAACGATACAATGCCAAAAATACAGAATATGAAGGTGCAACAAATCAAGAAGAAGATAATGACGATGATAAGAATAGTCAAATTTCAGATTCTGATATGTCGTTGTCATCACATTTTTCAACTGATACTTTCAATATGGATAATTTTCATGATCGTGCTGAACAACGTGTTGAAATAACATTGTGCAGTGATTCTGAAGTTTCTCTATCTAACGCTATAGTAGAATTACAAAGCTACTCTTTCTGCATAGAATCATGGACACTCACAGAAGAAGAAGTAAGATTTATTTTAAAACAACAACAGCATGGTAAACCTATGAAAAACTACATGCCAATTGAAGTAAAATCTAAAGAAATTACATTGTATCTTCTTCATTCGGCAAAAAATCCTTTCATACACATGTTCATACATTACACAAGAGGTATGTGGAATGTGAGAGTAAGTGGATTTAAATCAGACGTACATAATGCAGTACTTAAAATCAAAAATTATTTCAATGATGTAGTTCAAACTGAAGTACAAATTCCTATTTCAAATACTATGGCATTTTTTCTTAAAAAAAAAGCATCTTCTGATATAGACAGACTGCAAAATATTCACAATATTAAGATCATACGTTTTTCTCCATCTCAGCACGCTCGTAATACGGATGGATATGATAATGATAATTGTTGTTTAAAACTGATTGGTCCTGTCGCACGTATTAATTTAGCACAAACAGAAGTTCAAAATTATCTGGAAAATTTATCAGAACAAGAACAAGATTTTTCATGTGACTCATGGGATATTTCAAACAGTATATCCCAAAATATCCTAAAACTTTTGACGAAAATTCGAGATTCAGATGATTATGAAGCAGTCGGATTCGTAAAGTTTTATAATTCATCCATCGAAAGGAGTCAAACAACACCGAAAGTTACTATTACATTGGTTGCTTTAAATGAAGAAATAGCAGATGATATTATTCAACAATGTAAAGATTTCATTGAAGGATATATTGTATGGAAACCATCTTTGGCTGAATATCGCATCCTACATAACATATTACTAGTACAGAAACGACCGAATATTTTTCAACTTCAACAAGAATGGGATACAAAGATACAGCTTGATAATACAACAAATATCATTGTTATTCCTGCACGATCAAGAATTATCGCAGATGAAATACAAGAAACTTTGCAGAATTTAGCAGTAGGAAATCTAAATCGGATCGCTCGTGTTTCAGTAACTATTCCTATTCAGCTCAATATGCGTCGTTTTGTTTATCAAGCTATTGCACCTATACTCGAAGAAGCAAAAAGGCAAAAAGTTTTTCTTGGTTCAAAAAATCCACTTGGACTAACGCTCCATGGTCGTTCTGAAGCTATTAATTCAGTTCAAGACAAAATCAATAATGTTATCATAGATATTAAACAAAAACTTGTTACAAATCGTTTTAAATTACCATTTCCCGAATCAGAATTACTTCGAGTTAATTCATACGAAATTCCGAGACGTATTGAACGTGAAACTAATACTGTCATTCGAGATGTTAAAATAGATATGAAATCAAATTCAAATGACCATAATGATGATATCAACTTGATTCTTACATGTGTTGGAAACAGTCGTGGTCAAACAATTCTTGTTAAGAAAGGCGATATTACTAAGGTCAAAGATGTTGATGCTATTGTAAATGCTGCAAATGGACCTCTGGAACATGCAGGAGGTGTAGACAAAGCGATTTCTGATGCTGCTGGTCCTGCACTTGATCAAGAATGTAAAGAATTAATTGCTAAAAATAGAAATCTACCAATACCTACTGGTACTGCAGTTAAAACAACAGCTGGTTATCTTCCTTATAAAGCTGTTATCCATGCCATTGGTCCTCGATATGCTGATGGTGATCAACAAAAATGTTCGTTATTATTTTCCAGTGTTTTGTCGAGTTTACGACTTGCTGAACAAGAAGGCTATAATAGTGTAGCATTACCAGCCATCAGTGGTGCTACTTACGGTTTTCCATTACAAGAGTGTACAGATATTATAATTCGTGCAATAAAACAATTCTTTGCTGATTTTCCACAATCAAATTTGAGAAAAGTAATATTGTTAGACATTGATGATGCAGCATGTAGTTCATTTGCACGTGAAGTTACAAATTATCGCACAAATACGGATGCAAACAATGATGATGATATTACGTATTGCAATTTACCTCCGCTAACGGCTCGATGGTGTTGGCTAGATGATAATGGCGAAAAAAATTATGATGACGATCATATGCGTCAAATCGAAGATGCATTACAACAACATTTGCAGACTTCTGTTCCATCGACATTGATACTTGATTGTGATAATTTAAAAACTGGTAATATTATACGCTATAGTATCCATTTTCTTCCTAATTTAAGTCAGGTATTAACAATCAATCCATCTGCACTAGATAATCGCTTTGTATGTGGATACCAAAAGCGTGAAGATACTCGTTTTCCACGAAATATTATTCGTTATCCATTACCAGTACAACCACAAACTACATCTGTTGCATATAAACCCAAACCATTGGATAAATATCATTTAAATGTCCAGTCCAGAGAAGACGAGTGGGACATAATCGGTATTACGAATGAAGAAGTAATACAAGCAGAGAAAGCGATTAAAAAAGCCATTGAATCTGCTACTATTTCGGAACCTTTCTCCATAAATCTAAGCGAAGATATTGATGCTCATAAGACAGCAATTAATAATATTGCAATTCAACAATACATTAAGGTTGATTTTAGACAAGATTCTACCGGAAATTTATCATTGATATTGAATGGCTTACAGCAAAATGTATTACAAGCAAAACTACAAATTTCTTTATATGTACAAGATATTTTGAGGATGGAAGTTGATAAAGACAATGAATTGAATATACCCAATGAATGGGGCGAACAAGAAGAACAATGTAAATTAGTTGAATTACCTAAAAATCATCCTGATTTTATTCGTATCGAAAATCGAATGAAAGAGACAATCAGCAATGTGAAAATTGATAAGATTGAAAGAGTACAAAATTTAAGATTATGGAATCATTATGCATTTCGTCGTCGAACTCTTCGACAAGAATTAAGTAATAAACCAAATTTACAAATTGAAATGGAATTATTTCATGGCACTCGCGCGACACTGCCTAGTGAAATTTATAATGGTGAATGTGGCTTTGATTTGTCCTATTGTACAAGTGGTTTATGGGGTCTCGGCACATATTTTGCTATGAATGCTTCATATTCCTGTCAAAGTTATTCTTACGGACTGACTGGTGGTAAACGCCAAGTATTTCTTGCTCAAGTATTAACAGGAGATGTTTTTGATTATAAAGACAAAAATGATCCAACATTACGTCGAGCTCCGAAGAAAAATGAACGTATATCTGGTGGCAAACGTTACGACAGTGTATTAGGGGAAACAGGAGGGAGCAAAGTCTACATTGTATTCGAAAATCGTGTCGCTTATCCAACGTTTTTGATTACATTTACTCAATGATGATTTTATTATTTTTATGTCATGCTTAATTAATTTACTTCTTTTTTAACATAAAATGATTTCATTTTTATACTTATATTGAATAAAACATACGAGAAGAATTTGTTGTATTTTATTTAGTGAGATACGATGTAGTTTTCTCTGCAATAGTCATATTAAAAGATTATCTAGACTTATCATAATAGATTTGTAGAAGAATAAAAGGAAAGATGAATGAAACATTGCCATTCTTTATCCATAAGAATGTCTGTCAAATGATATTAATATTTGCAGTACATCTACTGTTTTCGTAACTGCGAGTCATAGATCCTCCAATACCAGCAGGTAGAAGCAAAACGAAAAAGTATATCAATCGTGAATAGACCTTTTTTTGTGGTAGAAATGCGTCGTTCTTTTTCGTTCTGTAATTATTCTTTGATAAAGAAACCCAGTTTTATCGGCGAAGAAATGAAAACGTTTTCACTGTGGGAGAGATAACATAACTTCTACTCCGTTTCATTATTGACTCACTTAAGTGTTTGAAGATGTAATAGTATATATACGACGTATACCATAAAATAAAAAGGCATCCCTCCAAACTACTACCGACTTACTATTCGAGTCTCTTACTCTCGTCACCAAGTTCAAAAGGTATGTGAAGTATAAACTTTGAGATTTTCACGATTTCTATAGTATAGAAAACTAATCGTAAGTGTTGGTTAAATCATGTAAAGCTTCGGCTCGTAAAAATATATTACAAAGCATATGCGGGAGAAATATTAGTTCTTATGAGGCTGGGCAAGTAGAGAAATCGTATAAAGTTCATGTAAGATCTTA